GTGAAAGCCAGAGCGGCTTATGCCAATCTGGGCCACCTTTGGCGCCTTCGTGATGTTAGTCTGGCTGTAAAAGGTCGGATCTACAACGCGTCGGTGAGAGCAGTTTTGCTCTATGCTTGTGAAACCTGGCCTCTCCGAGTTGAGGACGTTAGACGACTCTCTGTGTTCGATCATCGCTGTCTCCGAAGGATTGCTGACATTCAGTGGCAACACCATGTCAGTAATGCAGAGGTTCGGCATCGTGTGTTCGGGCACAGAGATGATAACTCAATTGGTGTCACCATCTTGAAACACCGACTTCGGTGGCTTGGACATGTTCTCCGAATGTCGTCCCAGAGAATTCCACGTCGTGCATTATTTGCCGACTCTGGGACTGGTTGGAAGAAGCGGAGAGGTGGTCAGTGCATGACATGGTGTCGTGGCATGAAAGAAAGCTGCAAAGGACTGGCTTGTGTTGGTCCTTCACGACTCCCTGGTTGGGGTCCGAGAGATGGTGCTACACAGTGGCTAGAGACGTTATCAGATATGGCTCAGAATAGAAGCCAGTGGCGATCCTGCTGTAACCTTCTTTTACTTTCTTCATAAAAAGTGGTTGTGTCTCCTTTACCTGAAAGATTTCTTCTGATTGTACCTTATCGTCATTACTCTCTTTTTCTTTTGCGTTCCTTAGTTTTTTTTTTTTCTTCTTCTCTTCGAATTCCCATTGTTTTGTGTGGCGCATATATATTGGCGCTCTCTTGTACCAATATTTATGTGTTCAAATAAATAAATAATAATAAATACTTCACTATTAAGTCTGTATTTAGTGTATGTTTGTAAGCTTAGTAAAATGTTGAAAATCTTGTTTATAATTTAGGAATTAACAACTTTACTTCTTCCAATGGCAATTCCAAAGTGTTATTCAATATCAGAAGAGGTTTTTGTGGATATTATAGTAATTTTAATAGTTGAAATCATGAGTTAATTGAAGCTAGACCACCAGGAAAAACCTGGAAATGGCCATTCTGTGCTTCCAGGTTTTCTATGGTAATCTAGCTTCAATTGACTCATAATCTTAACTATTAAAATTGTTACCAGTATACGGGTAGTAGAGATTATTAAGTTTTTGATTGAGATCATGAACCAATTAATGACAGACCACCGTTGGAAACGTGGAACCACTAAACGGCCGTTTTGTTGGACTCCTCAGCAGTGTGCATCCACGATCCCGCTCGCGGGATTCGAACTCAGGGCCTTCAGTCTCGTGCGCGAACACTTAACCTAATGGACAACTGGGCCGTCATCCAATAGTGTTCGTGTCTAACATGATTGGTTGATGTTAGACAAAGTTTCAAACAATTATTTCATTTTTTTATTTATTTACGATGTACACTATCAACTTTAAATTAAACAATGAATTCAAATATTTCATGTATTATAACAAGTTTTATGTTATTTAACTAAAACGTTGATATTAACTGGTTAATATTTTCTAATATCAATTTATAATGTTACATAATTACTAAATAGCATTGTCAATGAATACTAATCTTATATTAGATTTGATCAACTCTATTTCACATATGTTTTTACTAAACAATCAAGAATATCCATCTATAGGTAAATTATTCTAACACATTAATGATTTCATGAAGACATTTTCTTCCATTTAGATTCCAGTTAATTTATAGACGAATTCCAGAAAAAAAGAAACATGAATTAATGTCAGAAAAAATATTGTTCATAGTGTATTTATGAAACTGTCCTTCCAAGTTTTAGTTGTTTCATTGTTCTAAGATAAAACAACTGAGTTGTTGCACACAAAATTTCTTCAAGATAATGTATGGGAAAGGCGTATGCTCGGATTTACAAATAATGACTAGTGTTGTTCCTTATATTCATTTAAATTTATTCTAGTTTTTATTAGACTAACATCATTTTCAAAGTTATAAAATCGAATCATTAGTTTAAACAAACGTAACATGAAAAACTTGTGGAATCGTCCATCGATAAAATTGAAGATTATTCCACTATGGAAGTATCAGACTTATCTTTTTTCTAAAAAAAAAAGTTTGTTCGAACATTTCTATTCATATTCAGATGCTGTTAAATGATTTTCATGACATTTCGATGAATGTTTCTAAATATTTCATAACATAATAGTCAGAAAATTAACGACGTAGCAAAATTCATAACTTTAAATTCAAATTGTTACTAGTTACTTACAGTATAATACGGGAATTGAATATGACTTTAACTTATTTTCTCAGTAATGATATGCTTACTGTAATTAATAAATGAGTATGTATGATAAGATTGGGGAATAACTTTCAAACTATAGTTTATCTATAATTACTCAATTACATGATTATCCTTTAAAGGAAATTTATCTACATATTTTCGCGGTGAATTGGCCTAATATATTCTAAGATAGTTTGATAAATACGTGAAATAACAGAACTTTATAATCACAGATATTGTGGCGATTATGTTAATCAATTGATAAACGGAAAGAAACATATTGTATTAATTTCTTTTGTTAACACTAAAATAAAATATTATTTTGCAAAATAACAGATCACATTAAATTTGTAGCAACAGGTTTATTTGCATTTTTAATCTTAATAAGCTGTCTCATATCATGTGATTAAAAAGACTTTTTTATCCAAGATCCTCTGAAAAATTTGTCCATAAACCGTTTTATGTCGTGAAAAAAGAATATATATATATATATATATATATATATATATATATATATATATATATATCAACGCAATACGTATCAGTTAACTAAATGCTGAAATGTTTCTTCCGGAAAAAAAAAGGAAAATGTCTTTTTATGATATAAAATATTTTGAGTGTTATATCAACATTAGGCGGTTTATTCGAAAATTCTAAAATCAGTTATAGATTGCACAAATCCTCTCTTAATAGTTTGGAAAGATTGCTACTGAAAGAGTTGAAGGATAAACTGGTTTTCATGATTATTTTGATTAATGTAGTGCTACCGAACAAAAGTATTTATAAAACAGCTGTTATAGATTTCGCAAAGAATCATTCCATATGGCAGTCACTTGCTTCGAAACCCTTAAACTGACGTCATCCTTTCAAAATGATGGTGTTTATAGGAAAGCCACCCAGGAAAAGATATTTTGCTTTTGTCACAAGTAATATCTGCTGGCAATGAACTACTAAACCGTTGCAATTCAGTCATAAAACATTTCCCGATTGGATGGAGAAATATATTCTAATCATTACACTGTTTTCAGTTTGGGGTTGTGAAGATTGTTAAATTTCATAAAAATCATGAAGTCAATGTTATACCACCACTGATAAACTATATGGCCGTTGCTTCTAGTATGGGACTCATCAGTAGTGCATACTCGCGATCCCGCACACCGAATTCAAACCCAACACATTGGGTCTTGAGCACGAACGCCTAACCTCTAGACCACTATGCTGGCTTAGTCGCAATTTCAATGAAACCAAACGATCTCCACAACTCCAAACTGAGAATTATCAATGTGCTCACTTGTGCCTAACTTCGAGAGGGAATGCTCAGAATTTTAGTGAGAAGCCGTGACCAGTCGGGTACAACCGTGCCGGGTGTGAGGCAGTTACCCACCAAAGGTAATGGAAAATGGCCGAGAAATACCGTAGACTGGTTGAGGTTAAACATAAACGCCACTGAATGCCGGTTCAATGGTCTATAGTTTGAGCGTCCACGCGAAACCGAACGCCTCGGTGTCGAATCCCGCGTGCGGGATAGTGAGTAAGCATTGTTGAGGAGTCCCATAATGGGACGAGACGGCCGTCCAGTGATTCCAGGATAGAAACCTAGTCATGCCAAGTTATAATGTTTTCAATTAATCATAAAACAATCCCATAACTAACTAAACTGTGAGAATTTCTACCCTTAGAAGATAAAATCTTTGCTTAATGTGAATTCGAAATAAAAACCAGGCTGATTTGAATTAAAATAAGTAGTTTTGTATAATCTATTTCCTGACAAATCTTAATGAGGTTTTCACGAATACAAACAAACACCAGACCGATTGCTTGTATGTTATGAGTGCTACACACTATCGCAGAGCACTTCAATCTAATTTGAACACTTTAAATGCTACAAAATACATAAGATCGAAAGTGAATTACTTACCAACACAAAACATAATTATTAATCTTATGATTGAAAATACCAAGCAGTTAGCTTTCAGATTAGAAAATTATTACAAAACATACCAGCTATAAATTATGATAAATTTGAATTAGGTGAAATATCTCTCATAAAAATAAGCTAAAGGGAAGCACGTTAGATTTTATTCGAAAGTAGGTGCGCTGAAATATAGTCCCATGAATGTGAATAAACATCTGTCGTACAAACGCACATTTTCGATGATAAAGTTTCAACAGTGAAGTATAATCTCCTGATACAATTTGAAAAACTTCTTGGTTAGAGCCTGTGCAATATTCGAAATGTATGGTCATAGAGGTTGAGGCATGACCTAAAACTAGACAGTGGCGCAGTATTGACGAGACTATAATTTATGGATGAACCAATCGATTTTAAAATAACAGGTCTTGAATTTCGGCGCAAAATTCATATACATATCTGGCTAAATATCATTTTAGCTTACGTTAGTTCGTGATGAAAACATTGGATCTAATTTCTTACTCTAGCGTTCAAATGTAAATCCTAATTCCTCGCACTAATTTATAACCCTCATTTAACCCTAGTAGACAAGTGAACATTTTCAAGGTCAATCTAGCGTTGCTCAAAGGTCATCCATGAATTATGACATCACCGGTATCTTGAATCAAAACACACTACATCCCATTACTGAATGACGTAAGTCTTTTTTTCTTTCACAGTACAAACTTATCACAAGAAATTAAAATGAACAATTTAGAATTTAATCTTGTTTCTTTACTCTTTACTTGAACTCAGAAATGTACATGATTTAAAAATATATATATACAAACACACCGGCTCATAAATAAATAATCTATAAACAAATCAATTAATTAATTCTTCGTCTTTTACCGCGAAGTTCATTATTTGCATTTTTACTAGCAGAAGGTAGTTGTCTTCCTTTAGTACTATTTTTCTCCATTGGTTTCGTCGTCGGTCTTTTCTTCGATGTCCTTACTTTCATAACACGAGTTTTATTGATTTCGTCAGATGTCGATGTTTTTATTAATTCACTACTATTACTACTACTCTGTTTACTACAGTTTTCCATACAATCTATACGATTTAATCCAGGCAATTTTAAATTTCTCTCAGATTTAACATTTTGTAAAGTATGCATCTTTTCAAAACCAGCAGGAATATCCAAATCCAATTTTAAACGACGTACTAAATAAAGTGTACTAGCTATTTCTTCTGGAATAGTGATTCCGGTGAAATTATCATCTCCAAGTGATAATAAATTTAGTAATCTTTCTGAAGATGTTGAGAACTGACTGGAAATTTGATTTAGATTGATTTGACGAGCATCTATACTAGATAATAAAAACCAGTCAAAAACAAATGATTAATTATATTAATGATAAAATCATATAAAAAAAGGTGAACATATGTACATCCTGTGCGGATTGCTTCGATATTTAAACATTAACGCGTTATACCGGAGTGAACATAAACTATGTGATGCAGACGCATCAAGATGAGCCCGAAATAGGACGAAACGTGCGTTCCTGATTTTACCACTCATTTCCGCGTAAGAGGACTTCTTTCAGTTGAGAGTTATGGAGAATGTAACAGGGAACCATAGCATGACGGGTGCTAGCTAATATTCTGATACATGACTCATAACGTCTGAAGCCAATGAGTTGTATCAGCTTTAGGACTCCAATCAGAAAGTCGTAATAGACTGATAATTCCCAGTCCTAAGCAATTTTCTTTCATACCATAGTGTAATGTTATAAACCAACCACCTTCATACATCTCCCACCTACTTCCGGAGTCGGAAAATAATTCAAAATATGGGAGCCGATGCGTTGACACTATTACAATATGTACAAGACACAGAAATCCTTGTTGCCAGATGATGAAACTGATTAAATATTGTTGATAAACTCAGATTAAAAACGAAAAGTTGATAGAAAAAATTAGCAAATGAGAGAATATGAAGGAATAGGTAGATGAAATGTAACAAGATATAAAGTGAATATATAGTCATATAAATTTACTCCTTTCTCTGACTAAATATGAAATAATGCTAGCCAGATTTCTTCAGTTAACATTAGGTATTCACAACGTGTAGTGGGACATAATGCCACGATATATATATATATATATATATATATATATATATATATATATATATATATATATATATATACATTCAAATGAATTGAAGAACCATTACGCAGAATTTATAAATCATCACATACTATTATTTCTCATTCATGTAACTTCAAATGATGATTAAACATGAAAAACTGTTTATTTGAACACAAAAACATTGGTACAAGGGGGCACCAAATACATATGCGTCACACAAGAACAATGAGGCCAATAGCAGTTATCATTGCTTTGTATTAGGGTTGTGATACTGCTTGGGTGCCCAGACCGAATCAGGAGCTTTACTTAGGAGACCACACCTGTAGCCTTTGACCTGAAGATCTAATCCACAAGTCAGTGGGGCAACGTAAGGAGATGCAGTTGTATGGTAGCCGGTGACCAGGAATAGGTTCATACGCCATTTGTTTCCTCAGGATCCTGGAGCGCATGTGAATCAGGGTTTCCCAAAGTTCTATTCAGCTAAATTTAAATCTATGTATTAAATAACAGGATTAGACTTCTAGTGTATCATTTATTCAAAATAATCACATTTTATCTAATGATAACAAAGAATCTAGAATTCAGTATTCATAGTGAAAATCTCATAGGCAATCGGGATACTTCAAGTGCTGAACACTACTGCAAAAGTATGATTTCAAACGAATTGACTTATTTAAACATCTACATTATTCATGATAGGTTTTTCTTCAAAAGAAATAAAACAAATCTTAAATAAATGACAACATTTTCACAAATAATGTATGATTGGCAAAAACTTACTCAAATGATTGATTACCATTAACAGATTGGTAAATATCAAACGAATTATCGGATGCGAGCTTGGTTTGTGTTAGTAAATAGGATCCAGGTTGTAAACTGGAAACAAAATAAAACACGTAAGTTAGGATAACGGGTAAATAACTCTGAAAAGAGGTGATCTATCCCCTACAAAATAAAAAAAGTTAATAAGTTAAGATGAAAAAAACCAATGCTTCCAATTTTCTAATTATTATTATCATCAAAGAATGTATATTCAATAGTTAAAATAGGCTTAATAACTTCACTTGTGTCTAAAAAAAACACCTCATGTCAATAAACCCACGAAATCCCTACGACTATAGTTTTTTAAACTTTGAAATTAGGAGATAGTTTATACCGCAAAGTTATTTCAGCTAGACAACTATCAGAAACCGATGAGCATCGAGAGAATTTCTCATAATAGTATGAGACTACTTCATGAGTGTGTATTAACGACCCATCCCCACCAGGGATTGGACAATAGGGACTGTCTCTAAACTACTGTGTTACCGACATCTGGCCCACATTTTCAACTTTTAAATCAATTCGTGATAATAATTAAAGGTATATATATAGATGTTAGTCAATATACGATAGCATCTTTCGGAGCAAAACAAACGGTAGAATTTTCTATGCTGAATTTTTATATCATACTCAAAATCCTTACGAACCAATAAGTTCATGGTAGACAAACTATAAGCAAGCAGAGATATCTAATAGTTCAGTGTCACATCTCATAGCAGTACGGTTATATTGATTCTTTACATTGTTTTAAATCTTGAGCGTAGTATCATTCCATGTCTTTCATTCAGTGAATTAATTTATTGTAAATCATATCTCTAACGCTCAATTCATTATTTGCACTAGTTGACACTATTTTCACTCATCTGCTGCACATCTTGTTAGTTTCCTGTCGTGTGAGATGCCGCTACTCGAACTGAAATACACCATAAATAAAATTAAATTTGCCTAACACAAAAAACAGCTTTAACTGAATTAGATTCAAGAGAAATGATTCCTTCAGTCAGTTAGCTACAACGTAGAACCAGACACATATATGCATCGCTCCAAGTTCTTATACCTCGTTAGCACAACAAGATGAACACCATATTCATAGAAGCAGATACTACAATGGTAGTAATATATGAAAAAAAAAGATTACATATAAGGATATGATACAGATATAAAGAATTAGTTCATAGAAAGAAAGGTATAAATTAATTTTAATCTCACATTCAGCTACTACTTGTTCATATAAGCAAGTGCATTTTATACTATGACCATATTAAAAACGACGAAAAAAGACAAACAATTATGCTCGACTTTTTTTTTCTATGATGTTTGAATTTAACGACTATAATGAAGTAAGTGATATTGTTGAAAATTCGACTAATTAACAACTAGTGAATATATGAACGCATTAATATGTGTCTAGAACTCAAAGTTCCGAAGATATTAATGACAGTTTTACATGACTAATGAAAATATATTAGAGAGAAAATGTAACTAGATCAATAGTGAAAAATTTTAATCATTTAAAGGTTAAATAAATAATTTATGGATATATATGAATATTCCAAGAGATAGTTGCTAACAATTTTGAAGAAATACGATAGAAACTTTATAAGTTCCACTAAGAAAACTTATCTAATTGATATACATTATTATCTCTTTCTAAAAATAAGTAATTCAATAATGAAGATGAATAGGATAATAACATTTGAAAGGTATATTCAAAATAATGATTTATTTATTATTTCTTTTTAGAGAATCATCTGTTCCAATTTATTGATCAGATGATCAAACCTTAAGATCTGGTACAATTGCCTTAATTCGTCTATCTTTCTAATCAAATTAATTTTATCATTCTATATACGTTCATAAATAACTGGATATATGATAAAAACTGTCAAATAATTTGATTTTATGATTGATGGTTTATTCTACTATCAATAGTAAAATCTATACATTATATTAGTATACAATTACAAAGAAGAGTTAACTTGGAAAAAAAACTATTATTTTGCTTAATCTATATGGGATTTCTTTATCCTCAATATCTTACAACACCTCTGCTGCGATTAAGTTGGTTTATGAATAATTTTGTCAAGGCATTCAACCGACAGTGTTATTCGAACAGTAACAATTTGTTTATTTATTTGTATTATTATTATTATTATTACTATCATGTCTTTGCTAGAGTTTTGTTTTCTGAATTGGATGGTTTGGTTGTGGAGCTTTCATCGTTCTTCTGAACGACATCGTCAGCACAAACTTCAGGTAGGAGTGAAGTGTCCGAATTTCTTCACAAATGGCTCACAGCTTGTCCTGTAGACCGCAATCTTGATTGGTTATTGTTGACCTTTAACCAGTCATTGTTTACTTCTTTATTTTGATTGTATCTCCCATTGATTTGATTCTGATCGGTTGATAAATTGGATCGATTTCAAAATATTTGTTAATTACTGATTGGCCTGAGAGCCAAGCTTCGAAAAATTCTCTGATGTTTTTAGAATTCCCTATATCCAAGATCTCAACATTTTTCCAGTCGAACGTATGTCCATGTCCACATGCATTGATATAAGGAAGGATATGTCATGGCGTTTGACCGTTAATTCATGTTCATACAGGCGGAGATGAAGAGGACGTTCGCTGTGTCCGATGTGGTGTTTTTCGCAGTTCGAACAATTTGTTTTGTAGATGATGTTCGATCTTTTTTTCTTTTGTCATTTCATCCTTTGGTTTGCAAGGGATTGATTAAATTGATTTTGCTGGTTTGGGTGCTACGCCTATTCCAAAAGGCTTCATTAATCTTGTTGTAATTTCTGGTATGTCTTTGATATATGAAAAAATGATCCGTTTGTTGATTTACGCACTTGGTTTCGTTTCCGCTTATGTGTTGTTCTGATATTTTTTGATGAAGCTGATTGGATAGCCGTTCTTTTGACAGTTTTTAGATATTTTTCTTCATATTTCCGCGCTGCATGTTGCAGTGCATCCATGCCCTCTTGAATAAGGTTTGTACGCAGTTGATTTTGTGAGTTCTCGGGTGATAAAAATTACCAAAGCAAGAGTCAGTCAGGCAACTAATTATAAAACAACGTAGAACCTGGCACGCTAGAGAGAGTAGAATTTAAAAATTAGAGGGTTCACTGAGAAAGTAAATAAACATTTCGAAGCCCTACTTTTTGACTAGTCGAATTTTGAGTGAACCATAAATCCATTGAACAAGCATTTCAGTCGATGTAAGCTAACTGAACATATGCGCTAATTTTAAACCTTGTGAACTTACAGTCAGGTGAAAAAGAAACAGAACCACTGTGATAGAAAATACGTGAAAAGCCTATATATAAATATATATAATCCACAACATAAACAGTTGAATGAACAGAAAAGGTATATCACACACTTGAAGATCATAAATACACTTCAAATAATAAAAAAGTAGGACAATCAAAAGCCAATAATCAAAGTAGTTCACCTACTCGAAAAGTTGATCCAGTAATCCAGATAATCTGTTTACATTATCTTGTGGTCTGAAAATAAATAAACAATAATAATAGTGATGATGATAATAATAATAGTAATAATAGAGAATGAACAAATTGGAAAGTAATATCAATTTGATAAATTATCTAACAAAAACTGTGAACTAGAAATAAGATATACTCAAAGCATAAACAAGACGTTCGCAAAATATAACACACTGAGATATTGGCTATTATTATTATTAAACTGAAAATTTTGAAGTTTCCTAAACAATTGATTTGATTTAATACTTCTTTTCAGTAGTGTGTAATAAATTTATTTTCAGTTAGAATTAACTTCAAAGTAAATTCACTATGCTATAAATGTGCTTTAGCTTTTGAAGTATTAACTTTAGCCAACTTGTGATGTTATGCTGTCTTTCTAGAAATTGCAATTATACACATGTAAAATTATGTGCATTTTATCTTGACCAAGTCGAAAGTCGGGAACTGAAAAGCTTGTTCTATTAAGATATAAAACGACCCGTACATGAATTTCTGAATTTAGCAACTCCGCCTGTAGCTCTTCTAGAGTTACTGCCGGTCCCAAGCCCGGGTAAAGAAGGAGGGTCGGGCACGGGGTTAGCGTCCCCATCCCGTAGAAAACTAACTCGCTAAAAAAACGCTAACCAGAAAAAATAATTCAAACCATTTAAACTCTGCCCTGGGAGTTAGAAGGTCTTCATTTAGAAGAATTATGACGCCTCATGATGAAAGCCTAATTCCTTCGGAAGTTACGAGGCCGATGCCCCTTCTAACAACCAGAGCAACAATTTTTATAGGTACATGGAACGTCCGAACAATGTGGGAGACCGGGAAGACCAGTCAAATAGCAACGGAATGAATGTTTCACTGGATATAATTATATGTTTTAATAGTGAGGACTAATAAACAAAACATTAAATTTCGCCGGCGATTCTCTTTAAAATTCAGATATCATTGAAGGTATCAGTGGAAAAGAAGGATAGTGTAGAATACGATAACGTTCAGGAAGAAAAGTAACATCGAGGCAAGTAAATAGAAAAATAATACTCAATGGGTGTTTATAAGGAAAATGATGGTTAGTTGATAGGAAATTTTATTTGCAATAATAACAGTCATAATGAAAAAAGTATAATGTTACAGACGAGAGAAGCAAATAAACTTTACACTTGAAAACAAATCCATCTACATTAATAGCCCCTTAACTTATGAAGTCGTCGTACAAAAGATCATTTCAATGTTAATATCATTGGATTACCTTATGCTAATTTTACAAGAAAAGTCCAATGCAACAATAAATCTAAAAATGGGAAGACAATTTTTATAATACACAAAAATCAGTTATAAAATCACTGGAAACACAATATTCTTAGATACTCCACTTTATTCTAAGACTGTCTATCAACACATTCACTTAACTTTATAGAAAACAAACCTAAGACTTCCATGTTTTGTTTTAATTATGATGGTATGTATTTATTAAATTAAGAAGGGATATAATACAACTACCACTCAATATCATCTATAATTACTGTTTTCATGTTCGACTTTGCCAGTATAAAGATCATGTCCTCGAAATCACAAATATAAGAAAATTATTCTAAAGCAAGTCAATGATCAACAAAGAATTGTTATTCAATTGGCTATTTGTTAAGAAAACATAACAAGTCAATTCATTCATAAAATGTTATGTGTTTATTTGAAGATTAATAAACTTATGTAACTCGACTCCAAATTCTACAAAATAAAGTTATTCAGAAATGACAGTTAAACATCTAAAACACACGTCTCTGTTAATTTAGACGACGACACTCATAAACATAATAAGCCAATATATCTTGACAAGCTGGTATAAAATTTTAGATCAAATTTCGAATATTCTGATAGTTTCATTTCTTGTAGAAGGAAATATTGAATAAACTGAATACAACTTGACGCGTAGATTAAATACATAATTCTCTGTATTGACGAATAATAATTACAGAGATAAACAAAATGCATATTAATTTACATTTCCCAAAATACCCAAATTCATTCACTTATATCATTACGTTTGTATTAATTAGGATCCTTTAACTAGAATTTCGTATTGTCAGTTGTTAAATGATATATATATCAGAATACAACACATATGCACACATAAAATATTATGGCTTTATGTAAAGATACCAACTCATAAATGAATAACAAATTTGTACAATTGACCTTAATAAATCAAACGAATAAATATTCAAAAGGAAATATTTTAAAATTCATCAGATACGCAAAACATAAATAACATAATAATTGTGTTGCGAATTAGAGATATGAACTCAAAAGAAAAATAATAAACTTTGTGCTTACTTAAAATGAGGATATGTCTTTAACATTTCTTCCATAGATTGATATTCTATCAAGATAATTTTCCCAGAGTTTGGATACAAACGAACTGATGAAAATAGAAAGAATATATATATATATATATATATATATATATATATTCATCAGTAGTCTTTTTAACCTTAATAAGTAATAGCTTGTAAATGAATAATTAGGTTATAATGACGAAAATATAGATTGTTTTAGGAAAAAAACCGTTTGGCGAAATATCTAGGCTCTTTTTCTATAAGGTCGTTCGTTGAATTTTAAAATATAATTAGAACACTAACCAAGAATATATCAATTTTGTATTAAAAAAAAGTTCAATTTAAAATGTCTTCAAAAACATACCCATTTAAGTCAACCAATGTTACAACAGAGCGATAATTATATAATAACATCTTACTAATATATATAAACAGATGTTTTAGAAAAGAGGCAATTCAATGTCTTAAACATTCTGAAAAAGTTCGAGTAATTTCGAGAGAAACAATAAAAGACAATACAAAAACAGTGATCAGTTAACTAGTTGTACCAGAACATTTTAATAAGCGAAACATAAATGTTGAACTTAAAAATTTTCATATTGTATTATTAATAATTAGGCAAATTATAATTTTACGACTAAAATTCAATGAATAAGTCGTATGCGAAGCATTTAAAATCAAGGAACTGGATATATTTGAAAATATGATAATCTTTAATAAGGGGAAAAAATACTAAAAATGATTAAATCTCAAGTTATGCAGTATACTGCCATTAAATCAATCAGTCAGTTACAAAGTAGAACCTGGTACGAATATACATCTGTTCAAGTTGTTATACCCCATTAGCACAAGAAATCAATTTATTCGGCCAAATATTAAAATATTAAAGGTAGTAACAGAGCAGTGAACGCTACTCACAAGAATGTTTGTAAGTAGTGTGTAGGTGAACGTGATGTCGAGGTTACAATAATTGTCGAATACAGGTGAGAGTTTCAGTCCACCGAAAGCACGGTGTTGAAAGAACACTTGAAGACCAGTTCAGATTGCAAATGGACGGCTGAAATATATATATATATATAATGTAAATACTTTGTAACTTTCCGCACAAAGAAACATACCACCTGACTATTGTTGCGTCTTATATTAGTATCAGCGTTAATAGGCAACGGATATACGATTTGAATAAATATGAATGTTATGACTGGATGAAAAGTAAAAATTAGATTGATTTACTCATTATGATTTTTATTCATAACATACGATATTCTTGTATGAAGTATTTTCCATGTATGTGATTTATTCTGATTATTAATCAAAAATGGGTGCATGAATCAATATTTAAATGAGTGTATTTCCGACTAGACTTGTCGTGATTGCTCGTGCTTCTGGCTGCTTGCGAAATATATTTCCCCGTTTTGAACTTGGACTTCGCCCTCTCTAGTTAGCGGGGATGGGACGCTTCAGAATAACTAGCTTATTGGTCTTTAGTCACCGAGTCTTTGTTCCGTTCGCAGACTAGGTGAACTCGTAATCGCTTCAAACATAGTAATAAATTGATGAAATAAAAACACAAATTATTATGAGAAGTTTACAATATTAGAATTTGAGGAAGATAAATGGATGCACCTGAGCTATTGTAAACGATTGTGAGCCTTGTCATCCAATGTCTTTAACCATTGGCTACGACAATTATACAAATTCCAACCATGTAGTCTATATCTGTTAAAATGTTCAACCATTAGTAATTTTATGGGCTAGTGTCATGTTTTGGTTTGGTCGCTCATATTTTCCTTTCAGCCTACTCCTACACCAAAAAACATCACCCATCGAGGTAGGCGGTCGTTGGGTATACGTTACACATGCCCCAACCATCTCAGTTGATAAAATTTACTACTTCACCCATTGATTTGCTATATTTACCTAATACTTTATTCCTAACCCATGCAATACTTAATTCATAGTCCCAAAATAAACGAGCAATTCTCCAAAGACACCTACGGTCGAATACCAGTGAGCTACGAATATCCTCTACTCTTAATGGCCGTGTTTCACATCCATAAGGTAGGGCGGACTGAACTGTCGTGCAGTAAATTCGTATTTTGGTTAGAAGACGGATATCTCGCCTACGCCGTAAGTGACGCAAGTTGGCAAAAGCCAACCGTGGTGGACGGGCTTGCCTATCATGATGAACCAATCGAGCTATACTGGCTGGAACAATCGTTCCTCAAGGTCCTACCATACCAGACAGGTCGGTTGAAGAGCGATAAGACTAAAAACAGTAAGCTCAAGGTCCGAAGGTGAGGTCGTGCTGCTGACTGTACAGAGGTGTAACGAGAGTAAGGTGTTTTCTTCAGACATCTAGCATAACAACGACGCTGTCTTCCCACAAAAAGGGGTTCGGTTAGAAAAGGTCGACCCTAAAAATGCACACCCCGCCTTATCCTACGGATATCCGTCTCGAGCGGTAAGGTTCCAGTAAGTAAGGAGCCAACACGAAAATTGCTCACAAAAAGGTCTTGTGTGACCGACCGCAAGCAGTTGACCCTTGTGTGCTGAGGCCACGCTCTCAGGTTAGTAAGACCGCCCCTTACACAATTTCCTTTTTAGGTGCCTCCAGAAGAACCCTTCCATGGTGTGGACAACCGGGAAGTGATAACTGATCTCATACCTCTAACAGCACTCAACTCCTAAAACTGGATCATCCTTAAAAATTTCAGGAATAAATCCATCAGGCCCTGATGCTCTCTATAGCTCTAGATTAGTTATAACAGTTTTCAACCTCATTAAGAGTTGTAGGACTCACATCAGTTTGTTTGGAGATAGTCTTGTATTAAATATCCCACCAGAACCACAGTCAAATGGAAAGTTCCATCAAATAATTTCATTACGCCAGAAATATAAAGTGTATTAAAAATTAAGAAATAACATAGTTACATCAAGAGGTAATATCAACTAGTTCAAAAAAGATTGTTATAAACTAAGAAGACTAGAAACTGAGAGCAAGAAATACTGCTAAAAATTGGAAAAATAGAAATAAGACTTATCTAGCCAGACCACATAAGAGAGGACTAGAAAAGCCTGTTATCTCTATGCGCTACAGTATAAAATGATTGAGCATTCCCAACCTACTGAGAATCATTAAGTAGTGTCCAGTAAAACATATAAAAACAAATGAAGGAAATATGGAGAGAGAAATAAAAACGTGTCCCTGCGTCATTGCTGTATCCTAAATTATGAGACAAAGAATGAAAAAGTCGACACAATTCTTTTCAATAGTTTTATTTATTTATGTAGACACACAATTATTGGTACAAAGGGGCACGAAATTACACAGGCGCCATATAAATAACTGAATCTGTGTGTTGGCTAGGTGCCAGAGGCGAAGGTGATTTTCTTGGGGGACCACATCTCGAGCCTCTGACCTTGAGGTCTAATCCATAAGGAAGTAAATCAACTTTAGGAGATGAAGTCCCATGGTAGCCGTTGAACAAGGATACGTTCATACGCCATTTGTCCACTTAGGATCCTGGCGCCCAAGTGTGCCAGTGGTTTGGAAATAGAATTTTCCGAATTCTTTTGGTAGGTCCTCGTACGCACAATCCCAGTTTAGGCCCCGAAAATTCCCTTTTTGTCCTCTTGATTTCGTAAATAACACCCCGCCGTGAGAAAGCAGTGAGTAGAACCTCTTTGACAATGGCTACATTATGCGCGTGGCCATATAAGAGCATTTCGAGATGGAGAGCAGACTATCCCCACCCTTGGTCATACCAGGACATTTGGGGTATTTTCATATGATACCACTAAATAGTCAGTAAAACTGAGGATTAGGTCAGAACCATAATAAAATATCAACAACAAATCATTACTTAATAAATTTGGATAATGGTTAGCAGTGAAATGGAATGATGAGCGTGTCATAATATTTGGGACTCATCAACTTGATGTATGCATATACATGTGCATAATACCACAATGATTGTACTCACTTCTTAAAATATCTGAGTTATTTCTTATAAATGAACCCAACCAAGAAAGTTCCAATTCTTGATTTTCAAGCATTTCACAGCCCCAATCACCTAAATACTCCGGTTTGATTTGAACACAAATAGGCTATAAAATATGACAAAATAAATAATTAAAAATCACAGAAAACATGAGAAATAACTTAATTATAGGAACTATAAAACTTATTTGCATTAAAGGAGACAAAAAATGATAAACAAAAAGATTTATAAGCAAAGATTGATAGTGGCTACCAGTGGAATCCAGGATGCGCACTTCATCCTATTTGGGAATAGTCAGCTGGATGTACCTGCATCTCAGAGTTGATGTTCACTCTCGGATTCGAACCCAGTACCATTCGCTTCAAACGCCATCGCGTTACTGAGTCCTGATAGCCACTTGCTTGTGAAATGGGATGAATTTAAATTCACTTGGTATTGTTTGGCTTGTATCTTCCCATTGAGGTTTAAGACTGTAATTGATCAGTCTGTTATTTGCATATGTGCATACTGTGCGTATGCCTCGATACTGCCTTAATTCACAAGCTTTTATAAGCAAAAATTTATGTAATGTAAAATATGTTGAAAATCCACTTTAAATTCACTTTGAATCAATAGTGATTTTCTTACTGATAAATTGTATCCGAAATTCCCATACCCGCAATAAAACTACATATTCATTTTTTGATCAGTAAATCACAAATGATGGAGTACTCAAGCTAAATCAATCAGTGAAGTATCTCTAACCTTGACTGATTAAGTGCGATTACTGAATCATACTGTAACATAACAAAATGTCGTCAGAATGAATTGGAGGAAGCTTTCGAAATCAATCTATTGATTAGGATTTATATAAGTCACAAGAGTACAGTACATCAAAGGGCGGAAACAAGCACATAAAGTATCTTTACTTTGTGCGAGTATATGATTCATAAATCAGAAGAAACCATCTAACAAATTGGGAACAAAACATATATTTTAAATCAAAATAATACTTATAATTCAAGTGTTTAGTGTGCACTAAAATTTGCTGGTTAACACTTCATCACATGCCTAAAATATTTGTTAGTAAGTTTTTGGGAATGACCAATTTCTCTCAGAAATTTTCCTTTATTATTATTTTATTTGAACACATGAATATTGGTACAAGAGAGCGCCAATATATATGCGCCACACAAAACAATGAAAATTCGAGAGGAATACAGATAAAGAAAAAAAAGCTAAGGAGCGCAACAAAAAAAGAGAGAACAATAACGAAGAGATTAGTGTAAGGTAATGTGCTAGTAATCAGGCAACGCAAAGGTACAATCGGAAGAAATCTTTCAGGTAAGGGAGACACAACCACTTTTTATGAAGAAAGTAAAAGAAGGTTACAGCAGGATCGCCACTGGCTTCTATTCTCAGCCATATCTGATAACGTCTCTAGCCACTGTGTAGCACCATCTCTCAGACCCCAACCAGGGAGTCGTGAAGGACCGACACAAGCCTGTCCTTTGCAGCTTTCTTTCATACCACGACACCATGTCATGCACTGACCACCTCTCCGCTTCGGAGAGACCAGGTTTCACAAGCATAGAGCAAAACTGCTCTCATCGACGCGTTGTAGATACGACCTTTTACAGCCAGACTAACATCACGAAGGCGCCAAAGGTGGCCCAAATTGGCATAAGCCGCTCTGGCTTTCACTATACGTGCATTGATCTCATCACTCACACCCCCACCAGCACTTATCCAGCTGCCCAGATACACGAACTTCTCGACTACGTCTATCTGCTCACCATCCAGGGTGAGTACAGGATTGGAATCCTGTCAGTCTTGTAGAAGTACTTTGCACTTCGGAGGTGCAAAGCACATACCATACCTACGGACATTCATTGACAACTGATTGCATGCCTTGGGCATTATCGCACAGTAAGACAATATCGTCCGCATACTCAAGGTCGAGAAGTCTTTCTCCAGGCAACAGATCCACACCGCCATTACTTACATTCATCAGAGCTGTTTCCAGAATGTCATCGATGGCGAAGTTGAAGAGGAATGGTGAGATTAGGCAACCCTGCCTAACCCCAGTGCTCGAATGGAACAATGGAGAGAGGTGGTTGTATGCCCTCACTCTGCCTGAGGTGTTTTTATACAGGGCTTTTAGGATGTTAAACTTCTCAGGCACACCCTTCTTCAATAGACAATCCCAGAGAACAGTCCTATCCAACGAATCGAAGGCAGCCCTGATGTCAACAAACACTACGATTGTTGGCCTTTGATAAGTATGGCGGTGTTCTAACATTTGGCGGAGGGTGAAGATATGATCAATACATCCTCGACCAGAACGAAACCCAGCCTGCTCCTCGCGAGTCAATCTTTCTCGGGTTTTGAACAACCTACGAAGTATGACGGAAGCCAATAGCTTGGACGCAATCGGAAGTAGACTTATCCCCCGATAGTTGTTACAGGAACGACGTCAAATTTTCCAATCATCACATATCAGCATTGTGGAAATTATTAAGTTTTTGATCGCAGTCATGAACCGATTGATGTTAGACCACCATTGAAAACCTGGAAGCACTGGACGGCCGTTTCATCCTATTTTGGGACTCCTCAACAATGCTCATCCACGATCCCGCTCGCGAACGCTTAACCTTTAAACCACCGAGCCGGCATCCAACGGCGTTAATGTCTAGCCTCAACGAAACCACGAAATCATGCAACCATGTTCCATTGTACTGAGGTAGATTCTAGTCTCTACCCGACACGGACGCGCACTCATATTAGACGGAATACAGTGTAAGTTAACTTTCGAGACAATAATCCTTTGACTTGATATACATGTTGCTTAGCTATCATTCAGGCCTATACTTATAAAAATTAGAACTTAATAACAACGAAGTTTATTGTAAACTCTAAAATGCTATAGACAACCGATAAATAAGAAAATATAAACAACAAATGAAATATCAAAGTTAGTGGCTCCATTTACCATAAATCATAATACAATTGGGAAGAAAGAAGGGCAAACAATGCAACCAAACTTACAACAATCATATTAAGGAAAAACTTCGGATGATGTATGAGAACCGGTAGCTCAGTGATTGGAGATTCGAACATTCAGCCGCTAAGTCCTCATACTATGTGATTCAAACCAAGTATATGAATCTAAACCTAGTATGTAAGCTAATAGAACATATTAAGTGTGTTTTATTCGGTTTTACCTAGTCTATCGAATTCAATTTCTTTATGAATATTTATTATAACTCAACAAAACTTGGTGATAATTAGGACATAAAAGTGAATTTACAATATACAGCCATGTTATGGATTATTAAGTTTAAATTTTTTCAATTTGCTTATTTATAATTTCGAATTTAGCATTTTTCTAGTCAATATCTTCGCATTATGTGCACTTCAATTCCACTGCATTTTAGGTTATTTTTAGCCTACTGATTTACCTATATCTTGGCATTAATTAACTACACAATTTTCAGATGCCGTAGATACAATTATACACAGTAACTGTATGAGTTTAAAATAAATTATTCAAGGTTCATTCCATGAAAGTGGATCATCTTCCGAGTGTAATCCATTCAGTATCATATTTACACAAACTTAGAAGTATCATACAAATAATGACGTAAAAAGTGGTGAACACAGTATGAGCATAATATCATTTGCCTTTACTGAGACATTACTTTAATTACAACTTTTAAAAAAAGAATGTTTACTGCATACCTTCACATTACTTTTTTTAGACTCATCATCCACTACGCTGTTTGTCCGATTCCGCGTGTTACATGAAGGCCAAAGTGGACATTGCCCATCAGAAGATAACGTTTTGCAAGCTTGACAACTTTCATTATTCGACCATATTGTATCGAAGAATTGAACTAACAAATTTTTATTTCCTAATTTTAAAGAGGAATATGAATACGCCTTAACTGAGTTTTTGTTTGATTCTAAAAGGAAAACACAAAAATCGTGGTGATAAGATAAACTCGTGAAAAAAAACATACAAACATAAGCATATCATATATTAAGATAGTTTAATGCATAAAAACCTTCCTGAGAATATTTGTCGTCCAACTAATCAATACATTGTCAATTAGTTTGAGGTACACAGAGCACAACATACTTTATTTTCAAGATTGTCAAATAGTTGTCAGATAGTTCAATCCTGTAAATGAAAAACTGATTTCGTTAGTTCAGTTGTAATTAAATGTAATTGAGGAAATAAGTTGGTTGATTTCATAGACCCGAGGGACAATAAATTTGCTTCAGACTCAAGATAAATCAATAGGGGTAAGATGCGAGTTCATAGCTCTTGAATAAACCGTTCGCAAACGACCCTCATATATCACATGAACATTAATTATAACTTATTGATAACTGACAGGCTCAGATAAGAATTTAGAACTTCTGAGTATTCCATGACAGTGGTAACAATTGTGACACAAGATTATTAATCTAAAATGTAGAGACAGAAGATTTAAATATTGCTGCTTGTCAGCAGCGTGTAACTACAAAAATAAACAAACCGAAACCTGTGTACCCAATATAGTAAGAAGGCATGCTATTCAGACAATGATGGATCGATTATACTAGTCGATTAGTGGGCAGCAGTTATCATTATGTTTACTTATTGCCTTGTATAGAATTCTATCTAGTCCATTACATCTATTATTAAAAAAGCGGATCACAACGTCAAGTCACTTAATTTAGTGATCACACAAAAACCCAATCGCTAGAATAGGTCCTATATTTAATGAATTAACAAAGTGGTACTAAATTATCACCAAGTAATAAAGTAACGCAAGAAATCCTTTTGATTTAGCTTTCCGAGTAGTAGTCCCAGATTTGGTTACGGAAAAAGATAGAATTTGTCAAGATGACAAAGAGACAACAAGAGTAAGCGAAATGATTTGAAATCACCGCCACCCATCGTAAATTGTAAACATGATTTCTGCGTATATGCCTTCACATATTCGAATCACATAAAATCGTTCCTTTTAAATTTTTTGTATTTTGAGCTTTCTAAATCATAGTAGTATCAAGTAGTGACAAATTGTGTTGACTCCTACTTTATAGATTTTAATAATGATGGTTGGTTTTACAAGTAGACACTAATTTGACAAAAAACATTCATGAAATCACAAACTACTCGAATAACATGAAAATTTTCATCATTTTTAGAATTCGGTCTTGATTTAACCGATAGACAGCGATCTAGACATTTAAGAGAACAAGATTCATATACGTATCGATATCAACTTCAAACAATATACTGAATTTATTTAAAACCTAATATAAAACTCAATATTTTAAGCTCAAGATAATAAAGAGTATAATACTATGTTATGACTAGCATCATTTTTTTTAAATGAAAACTTCCTACTGCAGTGCTATTTCTTCCTCACACCAGATCAGAAGAAAATAGCATGCCGTTTTACGGATATTGTAGGAAGTGACGGTAACTATAAATGTAACAAGGAAGAAACCTCAATCCATCAATTAGTATCATTTGATGCTCCTATGCCGGAAGTCTTCGGATTTGTAGCCAGAGAGACATCAAACCTGATCGAAATAATTTTAGAGTTTCTTCGAAAGTGTCTTATTGTACGTCGTGCATTTCATTCGTTTCTGCAAAGTAGCTACTAGTTCCACACAAGTTATTACAAATTGGCCAAGGGTGTCTCTAAAAAGATTATTATCCGTAACAATCAGGATACGTTAGACTTACGGGGATGTGGAAGTCTGCATGCTCGTCAACTTATGAAGGACAAGATGCGCACCTCCACTGACTAAATTATTAGTCTGTCGGGAAATACCTTTTCAGTACGATAGCATACTGGAAGGTACATTGTCCGCACGGACATCATGGAATTTGACTACTATTTACGGTGTGAAAAAGCCTTTCGATTAGGTCTGATGCTGTTAAGGCTATGAAGCTTCATCAACTGAGGTGATTTACACAGATGATGTGTATACCAAGACAGCATTTCTCCCGACTCGTAAAACCGATGAAGATATGAGATGGCTAAAAAAGGCAAGGCGTAACCAAAATCGAGAAACGATATCAGACCGTAGAGCTAGTAACTGTTAACCTGAGTCGTATCAAATCTACTTACTCGGTGTCTTGATTAAGTGTATTGTATCTTTGGCTGATGTATATTTATGTCAGGTTAACATTGTTTACGGCTCACTGCTTGAAACATCTATGAAAGAAATCTAAACATATCGGTAGTAAGTTTACGCAAACTGTCGCCTTAAAATGGTGAAATCCATAACAATAGTAAGTTACGATAGAACAATGCGAAGACGGAGTTGATCTGAAAAATGTGATGTATTTGCGCTATACATTTCGAACAATCTGGTCACACATATACTTGTCAAGGTCGAATTCCTAAGTTTATTGAAGCCTTGGCTATTCGTAAATTTAAACCCCCCTTATGTGTACAAAAACAATTTGTCGTAACCTTGAATTCACCTTGGTAATCCTTAAGTCATTCTATGGCCTAGGATAACGCGACAATTTCTTATTCCTTCTCTCCCCTTAGTTATTTTAATCGTACTTTTATTTGTTTGACCTTTATTAATTTTCATATAAAAAATGCCTTGACAAGTATATATGTGACCAGATTGTTCGAAATGTATAGCGCAAATACATCACATTTTTCAGATCAACTCAATCTTCTCATTGTTCTATCTAAATTTATGAAAGGGACTAACTGCTTTAAATAGTAAGTTATTAAAATTACGAAAATTACTTACCCTGATTAACTTCTGCTTTATTTATTTTGTTTGATGTAGAAGAGTTGGACGTTAATCGTTTTGAAGGACTAATTGTTTCCAATGGTGATAAATCTTGAGATAATTCACAAGTAATTTTGACAGGCTCAAGAGGAATTATTTGTGGACCTAAGAATAAGATTAAAAGTGTCATTCATTTACATAATAGCATCAAACTAATAGCAAAGATATATTTTAAGCATAGTTATTAAAATATGAATAATAATTGTTGTTACAGGCTGCGATATACCTTCTTTGCAAAAATTAGACAAAATATTAGTTTTCAGAAGAACATAATTCCAAAAAATAATGGAAACTTGTGTTGATTCAAGTTAATTTAGTTAAGAATCCTAACCAACAGTGTTCAATATATCAACAACGAGAAAGTAAGTATTTTTGAGACTAAATAATTCATGGTCTGGAATACAAAAATATTGTTTGAAAACCCAACTAACCACAATAATTCCATTTCAACTATCAGTCATCATAAATCTAAGTAATTGGACAGATAAAGTACAGTTTTTAACCACTTACGCTAGTTCACTTTAGTGCTTCATGAACCGATTTACTTCAAATTTATCTAGTTTTACTCAATAGTATGATGTAATGTGAAGCAAGAAAGTTAAAATTCCACCACTAGGTATTTTCCTATCAGTTAACATTTAATTTATTAACTTATCCAACTATAGCAACAAGTAATTACAGTACTGTACCAACTGGATGGTCATTATAAAAAACTAACTAATATAGTAGCTACAATGACATCAGTATGCTTGTATTACTGTTTTACTCAACATTGATAGATAAGTGAAGAATCTATAACATGGAATTTTCTTCTTTTTGATTTAATCACCATAATTTTAATATCCTATTACTATAACTAGTCCAAGCAAAAAATGGTAGTATCTTTTGAAGTTTAAAACAATTGCCTAGAAATATAACGATAACAGTTATTAGTGGGCACTAACTAACTGAAGAAAAAAACATCCACATTAAGTCATACAACAAAGAAAATTTCTTTCCAATAATATAAATTTGGTAAAAGTATATTATGCTGATGACCTTGGGCGACTTATCAGCCAATCAGGAAGCACCACCTTGTAAAATAATCAACAGTACAGAGTAATGAAATAACACCTTTGGTCTGAATAATTAACCCTCACACATCCAATTATACCTTGTCGTAAAGGAAAAAAGGTTAAATTTAGATATAAGAAGTCAGGCTAGTGTTGTGAGTTGGGGTTTGAATCCCGTAGTGGTTTTGTCACCAGCTGATATCAGCCATGATGCAAAACGCATAAGGTTCGGTATTAGGAGTTAAAATGGAGTTTTGGGTTAGGTTTAAAAATTAGGATTGGGGTCTTTATCACAAACTGACATAAGCTATAATGCCATACTTCTGTTTACAAACTTGAGAAACCTAACGATGATACTTGGAGCAAGAGTAAGGAGGGGAGATTATCTACCTTTACTAAACTCTTGAATACGCATTGAATCACATTAATTACTTTAACAAACAAAACGAATGAAGATTAGGAACGAAAAAATTAATCAAATCATCAGTGATAGAATGATGTTGTTAAATCCCATACTAGACATTACGGGATATTAAGAACGTACTGTAGGATGGAGTCAAACTAAAGCATTTTTTCACCGAAAGTTTATATTCAATTCACTAAAAAGTAGTCGTATTAAGGGTATCAAGAAGTACGACTATAACAGTGAACCCATTACTAATGCGACCGTGATAAAATTAATACATGTGTCATATGATTACACACAGAACAATTTAAGGGTTATGAGTGATGGGCGACTGAGCAATGTAAAAACGACCTCTACATAAAAAAGTCAAGTGCTTCTGAACAAACATCTGGTTGAACTAATGAGCTGTTAACATTCTCCCTTCATTATCTGACTAATAAAAATAACCGGTGTTTGAAAAGTCACTTGTAAATTTTATGCTGTGAATACAACCGATTAGCCTTGATTTATCAGAAGAAAACTATTACAGGCAGTTAAAAGAGTCGAAAAATATTATTCTTTCTTCTTCACATATCATTAAAGAAAAAATCTCCAGGAGAATTTGATTCTCATAGTTTAACTAAAAACGATATCGTTGTCAAGGATATTGACAAGTGATTTTTAAAGATCAATAAAAATATCAACCATGAATTCTAAATTCAGATGATAAATTTCTTTAGAAGTAACAGCTAAGAGTTTAGGATGCCATTTAGTTTCATTTAATTTCTATTGAATATATATACTATTGAAAACTGTTGATAGAAAATGTTATAAACTATTTTAAGATATTAATTACTTATAGAAGTTATCCATAACAATAATGATATATGTAAATATCAATTTTTCAGTTGAATTAATCAAAGTAGAATAATTGCCAAGAAATTTTGGGTAATAGCAGGAAAAAAAAGTTATATATAAATAAAACCTACTAGGAGAATGAATAATAGACTTTGATTCTATGATTTGATTAAAACACGGACTTTTAGGTGTCTCATCAGTTGGTGAAGCTGGTGTACTGGAAAGGTCGATGACAGAAAGGCTATTTGTATTTTCTTGTTGTTTATTAGTGGATCTTTCAACAACTGTACAAAAACTAGCTACGTTTCCAGGATCACAAATCGATGAACTAAACTTTTTAGAACTGAAAAAGATAATAAAATTAGACAATAATAATTACTTGATAAGTGAGCCGAAACACAAATTATAAAACATAGAAAGCATAAGGTATATATTTCTTACTGTTTTTTGATATATATATATATATATATATATATATATATATATATATATATATATATATATATATATATATATAAACATATTGAATGGATAAGAATAATGTTTGTGAATTACAAGCGCATAGTCAATAAATTCATTATACTTTCAAACATCAGAATAAAATATAAACTTTGGTTCAAAACTACAAAATCATATGTAAATAATAACCACTATTATCTTGCTTTTATCCATACCAAATTCTTCGCCTCTAGCCTTTTATTCTTCATAAAACTACATATTGCATATATACACTTGAAAAATAACAGTAGTACATTTTATTTCATAGGATCCACAAGGTTCGAATATAATATGGTATAGTGTACTAGATTTACCAGTCAAATACTAGTTTACAGAATTTTGAAGGTGGTGTAAAAAAAATATGAACCGGAACATGGAAATTGTACTGTTGAAAGTGTGGTAAATAGAATACAAAAACTGGAATCAAACCCCAAAATATTTACACTGAAAACATAGTTGTACTAAGTTGAAAAAATGTTAATATCAAGCACATCGAGGGGGGTAAAACTACAGTATAACATTTTCATTATCCTGATACATAAACAGTATTAGCAAAACCCAAAATCAAGTAAAATGAAGTTATAGAAAAGTGTAGCGAGACGTGTTACTTGATAGTAGTCAGTAGTATAATTAAAACGGATTAAAAAATAAAAATACACTATCAAAATACCACAAGAGAAAAGGACTCGCAATCATGGATATATATAACATATGTATCCTACCTATGATCATCACTATTCCGTTCATCTAAATCAATCCTCAATTCATCATCAGTATCACTTAACACCTCTGTTGGATCCAATTTATTGACGGATAAATCATATTCCTGAGCTTTAGTGGATGATCGAAGTGTACGTGGACTAGATATATTAATCTTTTCTACAACTGTATTTATAGTGAGAGCACACTTTGATTGCTCCTAAAAGACAAAACATGGGAAAAGGAATAGTCAGTGCAGCCTAAATGTTACATATAGGTAAGTCTTTAGCGAAATAAAAACACAATGTTAGCATTTATTTATTTATTAAAATAACAAAAGAGACCTAGTGTATCATTAAAAAAGAATAAAGGAAATTCGGTGAAGTCTTCTTTGCAACGGTTTCATTTACTCAAGCTATACAATCGCATCTTTAGTTAATTTTATCAGTTAAAAATTGTATTATACGGTTTTGAGTAATAAAAAAACTTGGGGATATTTCATGGCCCACTGGTCTGACTACAATTTAATCGAACGACGATGTTAACGAAATATACATCTCGGCTATCCTCGTACATAATTATCGACCTAATTCAGGTTAGGGAATAACGGAATAAAATAGGTTAAATAAGGGGATGAATTTTGAATACGTATATTCCAGACATTCGTCAATCCAGACAAACAATCAGAGAAACGAAGCGGATGAGCAGATTGGAGAAGGCAAGTGTGTCAACTCATTTTGATAAAGCATGACTCAATATTTATAAACAGACAAAAATGAGCTACAGACATGTGATGAATAGGATAAGCAATACACATACATATGCTCACATAAAATCATTCAAGGTTAATAAGCGAATAAGTGAGATAGTCAAAATGTGACCCAATAAGAATAAGTTAGTCTATCCGGAAGCTAAAATAACCTATGTTTGACATAGTACTAAACACTACAGTATCTTGTCGTGAATGGTTTACAGAAATCAAATACTGAAAGGAAGTTATGTAATAATTAGCTAGTGAGAAATTTTAAGGTGAAGGTAAGTGTTCACTTGATAGCTATTAAAAACAGAATGATGAAAAGTCGTAATAATGGTTAGTTGATAGTTGTGGAAATAATTGGAGAGAAGTAGAAATAAGAAACGGTGGATTATAGAAAGGAAGGAGAAAACTCTGAAGGAATGAGTGACTAAACATACTGTTTTTGTACTCAAATAATAGGCTTGAAGTAGTGGATAGCTTGGGCTATACATAAGATTTCCATATGCTTTCCCCTTGAGTCGACTCTTTTGACTGTGTGTATGATGTTGAAGGAGGCTTTTTGTGAAGCAGAGTGACCAGAATTAACTAGATACTTTAAGATTGACTTTTAGGATCCCTTAAAAAGCCAGGGGGTAATATTTGGAGACGCGTTTCTAATTATGACGAAAAACCAACAACTGGAAAATACAAACACTTACATACAAAATTCATATCCCTTGAATAAGCCGGTGGTTATCTGGAGTGAGTAACTAAGTGAATGATACATTGGGCGATTGAAATCAGAGATACTAACTTAGAATTCAGATGTAAACACCAACATGGATAATGATACAGCCTACTAAAGAAACGCACTTCCGAGGTTCCACTGCTGGCCAACTTTATTAAAAACCTGCAGATTAATGATAATATTGAGGAAATTCGTTCACCAACTACACATGCTAAATGAAACTGATCAATTGCAGTCACTAACACCGACAACGGGGAAGTACAAACCCTTACAAATCAGTTAGTCAATTATATCTGTACAGAAAATCCAAAACGGCTTGTTTTACAGTTCACTCAAATATTTTCTCTTGCCTATATTTTGTTGATTGTCTTTTGTAAAACCTACTACGATGTATTGTCTGATTGACTATTTGTTTATCAGTTTAGGTTATACGTTTCACTGAATGATAACATATCATAGACATGGTACTACTGCAAGTTTATTGGAACTATGACTTCATGAACGGGTCACTTACATTTTAACTAATGAAAGTGAAATAGCTTAGTGATTAATGCACTCAACTATTAGTCAGTGGATTGCACGTTCAAATAGTATTCTTTCGAATGTGTTTCAACCAGTCAAGTTTATCATGAACCTTCATCACAAAAGTGTACTTCAGAAGCATGTGCCATATTTTATAAGTGAATTGCAATCAATGGATTATGGGCTTAAAACCAACTTAATTTACTGTGGTTTGAACTGTGAACCAGAGCAACAAATGTCGTTTAAAATAAAAACGAATCATTATAACCAGGAATTAAACTAACAATAATATGTACTTGATCACCCGAGATGTGTTCAAAACATAGTTGTTTTACTAAAGATTCATAAAACAAACGAGCGCGAACTCTTGGAGAAAATGGACTTGTTAATATGATATTTCCAAACTGGATAGTCTTTCGACTGAAAGATGTATCTGTGGAGAAACAACAAAACAGAAGATAGTGTGGATTTTGGACAATTTCATAGTTTTAAATGTTCTTATTTATTTATTTGAACACATATATATGGTACAGGAGTGCGCCGAATATATATATATATATATATATAAGTTCTATAATTAGACATCACAATATTTATAAAACCAGATATGCCTACACTAGGCCAAATTAGCTATCATTGGTTGGTAGGATGTTACATAATTTTATAACCTAACTATTATCCTAATGGTCCTGGACAGACAGTTGGTTGAACATTTATGAGGTGTATATTTGTACAAGCTTTCATCAGTGTCTAACGGTCAGATAAATGAAGTCGCTCAGAATCGATAAAAATAGTGCAGATGCATTCACTCTTCGGTTTCCCTTACATTTTCAGTTTCAAAATTACCTTTATAAAGTGTTTTTATGCTACCCAGTTCCCCGTGTTGTTTAGTATTAGTTGAACACTTTGCCCCACTAGTCCCTAGGATAAAAACACGGCTTAGACAAGAAAGTAATTATGTTCCCAAATAAACCATGCTGATTGGAAGAGAATTACAATAAGAAAGACGTCAGAACATACATAATTTTACACAGGATTCTAGAATCTTCTCCATTTACCAGCTAGGGCTAATTGACTAAAAATAGATCAGTCAGCATGCTCCAACAAAATCCTGCGTGAAAGGTGCTGTAATCCACTCTATGCCCCGTTAAAAACCTTACACTTTTTATTCCGTCAATTAATTCCCCTTTATTGAATCATATTCTCTCTGCTTAATATTATAATTATAATTGATACCACTACCACTTACACTACCTTGGTATTTGTTCTGAGAGCTTCATTTCGCTGTGAGAAGTTAGGTGGACGCATGTATATTCAGGGTTTTACGCTACTTCTGACTGAATCAGTGACTAGCCAAATTCTAGACGGAATGGGAATATTCATCATCTAATAATAGAACACGAATCTGTATGAGTCAATAACCATGAAATACAGTCGAGAGTTTGGTAACACGTAGAACAGATGACGAACACATACAAACTAGCATTCTAGTAACAAAAATAATAACCAAGGAAAACAATATAAGTAAAAGAACTACGATACTTCATGATTTTCAACTTCAAAGAAGAGAGAAAGAATTAGTCCTAAATGTGTATGCTTCTAATTATCATCACAATATTTATATTCAAATTAAATTAAGAATGAAATTAATACACATCATCAAGTTCAGAATAAAGTGGTTTGAAAAATACACGAACTTGAAATAAGCCTGAAAGCATGTTTTTTTCTACATTGGAAACGATCGAAACCCTCGCACAATTTGAGAATTTTCATATAAAGGTTTAGAAATATATTCTCCAATCACTGACCATGGTTTGCGCACGGACTCCAACCAGGTAGTCTGCATCTACCAAAATAGCTCAAACCGACACCTAAAGACTTCAGAGACCGATGTCACGTCTTGGCTTAGCCCCCCTAGCTTTCTTCCAACCCACTTTAACATCAACAAACGTCGCCCATCGAGGTAGGTGGTGGTTAGGTATATGTAACGGAAAATTATACTGTTTTGACGTGCTTCATTTTTCATAATTTGGGATTAGTTTTATATTTTTCCAGAGTGAAATTAGAATGGACCTCCTATCCTGAGATAAATGCAATTTACCTATCCATATGAAGTTGAAAAGAATGATCATTCGTGTACATGAAGTTCTACACAGATTAAAGCAGATCAGAATAAGAGACTGATATCGAAGCATTTAAAATAGATGCTAAGTGTTTGGATGGTAAAAGTAGGCGGAGATAACTGTCTTTTTAAAAAAAACAATCATTCTTTATGAAGACAAAAAAGGTGAAAAATTCACTTTATATTACCTGAATTTTCAACAGTCACATCAAACGGTACATAAACACCAACCAGTGCTTTCAAAAGAAATAAAAAATTCAATACATTCTCAGTTAACAACACCACATATTCAACTGCATGATGAATTTGTTTGTACACGTAAGTAGGAAACGGAAGCATCTGTTTTGATTAAGAAAAATACGAACAGCTGAATACATTTTTGTAATGGAATACATTTTAATTGCATACAAAAACAGTAAAATGACAAAATGCTTTGAAAAGTAAGACTGCTCTAAGGAACAAGCATTGGTAGTCAATAAGCAGAAAGTTATGGATTTAGGTTTCTACCTTAGATAATCACCCGTAACATACATCTGTAAATATGGAATACAAACTAACACTTACCTAAACTCAAATCAGTCTAGTAAAGCGAGTCAATCGAACACTACAGTTACCAGTCTTCGTCATTTAAAGACAATTTAACCAGTCAATACAGCTCCTTGTTTTTAGCTGACGAATAATCTGCTCATGTATAAATCAATACCATCGTTAGAAAAGGACATGTCTTCATAACAACTCAAACGAGTCAGGTAACACAACAATGCTTCACAGTGACGTACCAGTAGATTCAGATTCAAAGATTGAAGTCTGCATTTGACTCCAAAACAAAACATTGCAAATTGGAAAAACCGTCGTAGTTAAAGTAACGAGTATGAAATATTAAGGGTCATTTTAACCTGAAATGATAGGTTACACTGTAAACACAGAAACAGTTAAGTACCTGCAAATATTCTCGTGGTACCACCATTTCCTTCTATTTATTTGATGCACATAACGTTATCCCTCATATGTTAGGGTGTTACTGATCTCAAGCCTCATCAAGTGAATACCGAGTTACCGATTAGGGACCGTGAGACAGTTCGACTGACGTCGCAGGAACAACAAACTAGTTAAACCCCACCTAGATACTTTGTTCTCAGCGTTTGGGGGTAATTTATTGGCATGTCATCAAATTCACAAATCGTTTCACTGACCCCAGGATTTTTTTACCAGTGATTCAAGTGAGGTGAAACAGTATCCAGCAGTTAACAAATACAGTTGCTACGTCCATCTCGTTAGCACATCCCAATGACCAGGTTTCTAGGTCCTAATCTAAATTTTATCAAACTTTGAACAGAGCAAGAACAAAGAATTGAACAGAATAACACAAATTCAGTTTATTCCGTTAGGTTCTCATCAGCTGCTTATAATATAATATTTAAAATCGAAATTATTGAAAAGTTTACATACTCATAACAGTAGAAGTGGATATGTGACATAATGGTGGGGTGGTGAGTGAAGATATACAGTGAGTGTCGTAAATAAACATGTGTGAAAGATCCTGGATCGTCAGATACAGTAACAAAAGATCATAGAGATAAAATAATTAGCTGAAGTAGTTGAACATAAATTAATAACAATTAAGAATGATATGAGTTAATATCAGTCAGTTAAAAAATAAATAAGGTTATGACTTCGAAAGTAATACCATTAAAACAGAAGGGAGGGAAAACAATTGCAAGTATTATGTAATAAACTGAAGAAACATTCATTATGGTAAGGGAAGATTTGCGACTATTTCCTTTTGGATACATAAGTCCGGGTTTAGTCGTTCGATGGCTATGGCTTCAGGGAATTCAAGGAGAACGAAATCCGACTGTCGATTAATGATGCTGAAAGATTTCAGTCTATCAACTCGATGCCGTATTCCAGAGATGTCTAGCGATAGCACTGCTAAAAGCCTTAAATTCCATTGACCTGAAACTTCTTGGAATATATTTTTAAGGTCGAACGCAGGCCCTTCCTACTATTCTACCAATGTAACTGTTCTGGCAGGTACATGTAAATTTGTATTTGCAGTTGGCGGTAGCATGTGAGTGGTACCCATCGATCTTGGATTGGAGTAAGGAACACACGGTTTTGTACGAAATAATCAGTTTAGCATAAGGATAACTTCTGGTCAGTGTGCTTTTTAATCTTGTTTGTTGTCATCGTAACGTCGTCACCTTTAAAATCAAGTTGAATGTAAATAGATCTTTTTTCTGCTATGGCTTCTTTAGGCGTTTTGTCTTTTCCCATATTTCTCAATAAAATTTGGGTACCTAATGCTCCTTAGGCAGGGGTATCCAAAGAAATTTAGTGAAAGATATGGGAAAAGACAAAACGCCTAAAGAAGCCACAGCAAACAAGAAACCTATTTTCATTCAACTTGAATTTAAGGTGACGACATTGCAACGACAATAAAGGGAAGATTAAGAAGCCTGTTTAGCTCTACTAAACCCACTTCAACTAATATCTCACATCAAAATAGGCTCTATTTCAAAATAAAAAACCAAATGTATGATGACATAAACATTATGTAGACAATTTATAGAAACCAGTTGTTTAACTTTTACCGGCCTCCCAGGTTACTGCCTTTCTCGGCGTGTGCTCAAAACACTCAGCACAATACAAACACGAGTACAGAACTGATATCGGAAATTTCCGAAGTTATTAAAAGACTTACCTTTCCAAAATAATAAGCCGTATCGATTTGTTTATTCACAGAGAGCATTTCAATTGAAGGTACCTTATAAATAAAAGACTATTTAGGGATTACAATACGAAATTGAAATATCTAACAACTTACATCTCGTTGAAGAAATCAATAAACGTAAATGTTATTGTACTGAAGTTTGTAACACTTTTAGTAGTGCCCCTAAATTTGTAGAAGCTAGGTAGTGTGTTCATATGAAAAGTTTGTTCTTTTGCTTGTAATTCCATCAGCTGTTTTTCATTTGTCAATGTTAAACCATTGTGTGAACAAGGATTGGCTAACTCTAACTGTCTTTGAACAGAAATTTGAGCCTGCAAAATAAGTGAATGCAATTTCTTTACAAATAAATCCACATAATTTTTTATATATACATACTTGAAGTCTATTCATTTCTCTTTTCTTTGAGTGACCAGACTTATTTACATCTACTGAACTTATTTTTAATAGAAGCTCTTTAAAACGTTTAACATCAGTGGCTGCGATACCATATTCTGGTTTGATAAAACTACACGCTTCTAATTAATGTAACAAATCTTACCATGTACATATGAGATCAATATCAGGCACATCATTAGATTTACAATGCGGATTTGATGGTTTTGCAATACATCTCAAGTCTGCAAAATATTCGAACACCTCTTTCTGGACTTCTAAAAGGTTGGAGTATGGAACGAGATCCCATCCAGTGAAAAGAATCATCATGCAAGGCTAGTAATAACACGAGCACCTAAATAAAAATGGAAATTAGAAGGAAAACGCGAAAGTGGTATTATTGTCCTACGAGTTAGATTCGATATGTTAGTTTCCCTAGTCATATTACAAACATTAGCATCATGAGAATGTCTTATTTGGTAAGCTACATTGAAGATGACTTTGAAACGTGTGATGTTATGTGAAGCATTCTAAAACAATGCAACGATAGTAACAACTGTAGGACTTACATATGAACTTATTACAGTTTACGTATATGTGAATTATGGATAATGAATAGTACATTTTATCGACTACTGAATCCTCACAAACGTTAATCTTAGGTTAAGATGTTCTACTTATTGTGTAATAGTGAGAATCACTGTGATCAACTTGCACAACACTTGTTATTACTCACCATTGACTCATCAAATCAACAAAGACGTTTGATAGGCCCGCAACCATGTCTTATCATCCCTCATTTGTACAGTCCCTTGTATTTTAACACCATTTAAGAACAATGGAAAAGACCACGGTATATCATTCATATAATTTAAGAATAGAATTTGGACAAAAATTGTCTAACGAGGTAATTCACTCGTCAAAGATCCCTATGAAATTAGATTACCACCCACTCACTCTTTCCTTGCTTTCTGGTACCGAGGAAGTTCTTCAGATCTTTCATTAATTTACTGAAGATTAATGTTTTCGAAGACTTGAGAGTCAAGGTAAACAATAACTCTAAAGCTATAAATGACGAAGACTCAAGTATATCAAAAAATGCAATAACTTTCATATTTATTGTAAAGTAACTTTACTTCTGTGAAGTCATAACATCAAAAGTATAACTTTAACTTCAATTATTTCGACTAGACACGTTCATAACGTGAAAAAAAATCAGGGTACTTATTCGCAACATTGCCATATAATTTGGTTAGCTCATATAAAAAAACTAATGATAATAGGTAAAAGGATAGATAAAATGTTAACCTCCGGTCATATAGACTTCTTAGGGTCTAAGAAACAAATAAATCTGTTAATTTACTCTAGGAAATGGGGTTATACTGACGTTTGCACAAAGCCTGACATAACGTTAAAAAACAGTGAAAAAAGACGGTTCTAGTTGAACTAGAGGCCTAGAGACGAAACAGTGAGGATAGTCTCTGACTGGCGGGTAGTCAGGTCTCTGACAGAACTCCAAAACTACTAGGTTCAACAACCCAACACATGATAACAGATGTCGCAAAGACGGCTGCGTTATTAGTTGTGAACTTACTTTAGAAGGTTGGCCATTTATATTAGGTATCATCTATCTTTGCCCGATTTGGTAGGTTTCTAGAATCTCTTACTACACCCCTAAGGAGTCTACTTTTTCTCCGTCTATTAATTTGGTATTTTAACTTGGTCAGGCGTTTTATGACTTTCAGACGTACTATGTCATCTGTGACTTTGTTGATTGTATCATTGCTTTTCCCTAATTTATACATTATTCACTTTATATGAAGACTGAGTCACCAATTATTATTTATCTATTTGAACACATAAATACTGGTACAAGAGGGCACTAGATACATATGCGCCACATAAATCTCATTTGATTTGTGTGACGGCTGTGATACTGCCCGGTCACATAAACCGAAGTAGGTGGTTTTCTCAGGGGACCACACCCAGAGCCTTCGACCTAAAGGTCTGATCCACAAGGCAGTGGAGTAATGTCAGGAGATGCAGTCATATGGTAGCCGGTGACCAACAATTGGTTCATACGCCATTCGTTCCCTCAGGATACTGGAGCCCGTGTGCACCATTGGGTTTTCCAACTCCCCTAGATTGACTTTTCGTGTCCACCAACCCGGTTGAAGTGCCGGACATTCGCTTTTCGTCCCCTCGATTTCGTAAACAACACCCCCGCCACGAGAAGGGAGTGAGTAGGACTTCCCTGGCAGAGGCTATATACGCGTGACCATGTGAGAGCACTTCGAGAGGGAGAGCGGACCCTCCCAACTCTCGGCCATACCAAGGCATTTGATGGCAAAGGTTGTGATGGAGGTGGAATCCGAACCCATGCTCTTTCGGACTGGTGCCTTGAACCAGAGCCTTGGACTACTCAGCCACTCCACCCACCAATTATTACGTCCACCGCCCCGATTCACTTTCGTTTCTTGTCATTGATTTGAACTACCAAATGTCTGAAATATATGTACCTCCAATACTTTCGTTATTTAACTTTCAGTATCAGTGTTGTTGACAGGGTTTATCGATAGTGTATACGTAGTAAATGGGATCTGCATCTCATTAACATTATCAATTCCATCATAGTGGAGTCAGAAAACCAGTACAAGTTGATTTCTATTTAGCATACATTAAAGATTAAATGTAATTGGTGCCTTGCGTTAGATTTCAATGCTCCTAATATAAATTTACAAGATCTATCCACCTCTGTATCCAGTGGAATATACGACAGTAGACTAGTGATAGTGATGAAGCATGCTCTATAACAGCATGTATTCAATCCCACATATCCTGGTTCAAGCCAAGGATCTTCTTTATTAAACTTATTACTCATAAATAAAACAGGCTAATAGTGATCATGAGATTTTGTCACTCAGGTTCAGAGCTTGTGACAGTTTACGACCTGACAGCCCCCTTCCAAGAGTATGGTGAGTGCACATTTGGGCCATGGGAGTGTTGCAGAAGCTGACTGATCAGTTGACACGAACTCGTCAATTGAAAAAGCATAATTTATCTTTAAACGAACACTTAGTTCCACTACTTTGCCGAAAAACTACCAATACTGTTTGATGTCTCCAGAGCAATCACGACTGTTAATAGACTGGACAGTAAATGATGGCAAACGTTCAGTTAATAACTTTCTGCTTTTTGGCCAAGATAATACTGTGATCAGGTTAATGAAGATTATTCGGGCTCTTATTCTACATAAATTAGAGAGGAATGATCTTTAAACGATGGAACACTAATGAGGATAAGACTGTTCATTTTTGATTGACCTCATTGCAAAAATAGATTGAACATCACAGGAAAATAAGAATCTTCTAATAGACACAATTTCTATAGATCTAAGTACAACCTTAATTAAAGTCCCACACTGTTTTAGATTAAAACTGGAAACTTTAAGAATCAACTGTACCCAATCTCCCACATTTGAGGAAAATTTGACCAGTTTTTGGGTAATGGCACCAAAACACCAATACTTCCTCAGAATCTTATTACATTTTGAGGAAATCGGCCTGCTTCTATTATTAAAATCCCAAAAGTGTTCACAATTTTCGGCAGAGTTCGCATTTTTGCCAAAATTTCCCCTAGGTTTTGGGTTTTTCCACAATATTTCCTCAGAATCTTATTGCTCACTCTTTTGGGAAAATAGTCTTTATTTATTTATGAAACCAAAAAATTTTGCACAATTTTGGTGAATTTATACAAAAAGTTGTTTTAACGCAAACTTTCTCAGATTCAGATTTGTGTAGTAAGGAGAGAAGGCCTACGGCCTATGTTATTCCTTTTCCAGTATGCTTCTGTGAGTGTCCAGTCTTCTCTTGAAACAGTCAATTGAAGGTGCGGACACAACTGCTTCTCAATCTTTTTCGACAGACATCACGGAAAAGCCTGCCGAAAATAACTACCCAAAAATGTAGATGAATTGATTGCCAAATTTAATGATGAAAATCAACACAATCTAGGTGCTGTAAGGTAAATTTCGAATTTTATTGTATTCTGTCCTGCATATCAGTGAACACTAAGTTCAATCAATTTCCAAAAATACGGTACACTTTAAATAATGACATTACAATGCGGAGAAAAATAAAGCAGGAAAACGATTCATTCAAGTGCAGACAGGAAATATACCGAAATATACTACAAAATGACTAGCGAAACTCTTCGTAGTTCCATAAGTATTTTTGAAATACTCTCCGATATTTAAAACAATTAGTCCCTTTGATAAATTTCGATAATGCAATGAGAAGACGAAGGTTATCAGAACTATGTGATATATTAGCGCAATATATTGCGCTAATATATCACATAGTTCTGATAACCTTCGTCTTCTCATTGCATTATCGAAACTCTCCAATATCTTAAAAACTAAGCATATCAGGCTTGTCGGAAAAGTTTTGGGGATACTAACCAAGAAGTACTTATTGGCTGGATTTTAATTAGGGATGATCTCATTCACGAAATAATAAGGTCTAATGGGAAAGTCCTACGTAACGCACCACTCACGAACAGTAACAAAACGCCGTAGCGAGTACAAGTTATAATACCACCAAATTCTCAATGTTCAGATTCAAGTCCTGATTTTGAGGATAAAAGGATGTGAACTTCTGTTATTTCATCCCTAAAAGGATTTCGCACATGCCTGGTCTTCCTTTGAACGAACTAATTTAAGGTGCATATATATCTTCTGGTGTTTCAAAGTTCCAAGGACTGACTAATCAAGTCCCGTTCCAGAGTTTCAGTTTGGAAGGAACAGAAGGCTATGTGGCCTGTGTTCGTCCTGGTAATGATGACCTCTCAAATGATCCAACTTCCTTTTGAAGGATGGAGCTTCAATCACGTGTTGAGATAAAGAGCTCTATTCTTTGATGATTTGTTGGGAAAATCGACAGTCAGCTGACAAGTAATTTGTTCTAGGCCTGTGAATTGTTGTGGAATTATTTCGCAAATTCTCTGCTTTGGAAGACGAGAAAAATAGGAACATATCGGACACAAACTAATCACTAAACAACTTAAGAACTGTGATTACGTCACCTCCAGTTCTTTTGTAGCAGTAAATAAATCACCAAAATAAATTGTTCTGTAAATCTCCGACATTCATGCTGACCACATTCGTTTTACTAGACACAAATGGCTGAAGGCGCTAGGTCACGCACCATCACCAGATCACGAGTGGGTACACCGTGCTACGCATCCCTCGAAACTGTTAGTCAGCTTAGACCGAACACTTCTCGATGGATCGATAAATATATCTAAGAAACCCTCCACATCTGACTTCTGGT